TATTTGAAGTTCGTGTGAGGTTTTTCCAGGGTGTGGTTGGCTCTCAAAGATTGAGGAAATGAATGAGGGATGATCCTTTATTTATAGGGAAGTGAATGGGATGCTCAAGCGCGTGGAATGATAAAATTTGGAGGGAATTCGCGTGAATCTGCAGCATGGGAAAAGTGTGACTCATTTTTTATCAAAACCCATCCAAACCTTGCGTTTTGATGCACTAATCACTTCTATAAGTTCAATAAACATGTTTAGGAGCAAAAACACGCAACAATTTTGTGATTAGAAGTCAAAACAAGAGTTTCAAATTTTTGACTTGGTGAAAAATTCAGTTTCAAATTGCCAAATTCAAACCAATGGCATTCTCAACTCAAGGGGTCTTAGGACATAATTCTTGAAGCCTTGGAAAGAGGAAATTACAAGATTTACAATGTGCAAAGAATGAGATCAAATGGATGTTTGAGCTGAAAGTTTTAATGAGTCAAAGTTGAGAAAAAAAAGGTTGACTTTCCATACTTAGATTTTTTTTAAGTTTTTCTTCAAAAATGACTTATAATGTCTTGCATCCAAACATGACCTTCCACTTGAAATTTATTCTTGACCAAAAAATATAGTATGAATTAGATCTCTTGTATGATATTTTGAAACTTGAACCATTCAAAATCTCCAAAAATTGAGAGAGTTGTGACTTGTTTAAGTTGGCAAAAAATTCATGAAATGACCTATAATCTTTTGCATCCTTAGGGCATCTTCCATCCATTTTCACACTTTGCACATAAAATAAAGGTTGAAGTTAACATCTCCAAAATCATTATGGAAAAATAATGGGCTCAAGGTGATAAAAATTGATCAAGTTATGATCATTTGAAGTCACATAAAGGGAATTTGAAGGTTCATTTGGAGGACTTATAATCTTTCTTCACCATCAAGTTTCTTCCACACAAAATTTCTTTGAAAATTTTGAAGTGATTTGTTAATAACCATTTGAAGAGAAGGATGTCTTTGGAATCACTCAAAAATACCAAAAAATGAGCAAGATGTACCCCTTTGAAGTTCAAAACCATAACTCCTAGAGCAAGAAAATGCCTTGGAAAACCTTTGCCATTTTGACCAACCATCTTGCACAAATACCTTTGTCATGTGAATATAAGTTATTGAGTATGATAAGGATAAATCATAGCAACCAAAACTACTTTTAAATCTTGAAAATTGAAGGAGATAGACACTTGTGATCAATGAATCAAAGATTTGTCCAATTGGGTCTAACTTCTTCAATCAACCCTTATACTTTTGAACTATATTTTGACAACTTGAAGTGTGATGAATCATAATAGACTTTGCCATGAAATTGCTTCAAAGCATATACAATGGTGAAGCTTGAATCTCAATGAAGCTTTTTTTGAGGAAGGCACATAAATGGACTCATGAATCCATATATCAATCTTGATAGAATGTATTATGCTTTCACCTACATCATCAATAATTTAGGGCAAACAAATATTGTATTTATTAGTTAAAGGATAATCAAAACAAAGCATATATTATCACAAATTACAAGTCAAGGTACTTGGTGATTCCTCATAGAGCAAATCTAAAGATAGGGAAAAGAATCAAACCCTAGTGTGTTGTCTTGTTGTGATTGAATTAATATGACATGATGGAGGGATCTTAGGGGCAAAAATTGGGGTACAACAGAGATGAAGAACAATATGAAAAATCTCCCTTGGATTTCCATTGAGGATATGCCTCGTTAAAACCTTACTAGAAAAAGCTCAGTGGAAAAAAATTTAGTGAGAGAAAAATAATACAATATTCTTTGAATGTGATCTGTCTCGTTAAAAACCTTACCAGGAAAACTCAATGGGAAAAAACCACGGTGAAGGAAAAAAGAGTGCATGAAATAATTATTTCTCCCCCTCATGCATACATTTATATGTGAGACGATATTCTTTGTAGTAGTTATTTAAAATGTCTTCTTCGAAGTGACTTCATGTAGTGCAAATAGTTATGTAGGATTTTATGAAGTTGTTGCCATGAGTTATTTTATAGATCTCCATGAAATGGTTGTACAATCACATGTAAACAAATAATCTATTTTTGATCTATCATTGTGAGGATCTGACAAGTAACCTACATCTCTAAGATATCAAAATATATGTTTGACTTTGTTCCAATGTCTTCGTGTAGGTGAATAACCGTATCTTGTAATAAATTAACCACAAATGATATATCAAGACATGTATAATTAACAAGGTGCATTAGTGCTCCAATTGTACTGAGATATAGTATTTCAGGATCAATCAATTTTTCATCCTTTTCTCGAGGCCTGAAAATATCTTTCTCCATATCTAATAATCTAACAACCATATTGGAATAGACAACATGTAACATTTGTCCATATAGAAGCATTTTGATACTTTTATATATAGCCTTCTTGATGTACAAATATTCCTTTGTCCAAATGCTCAATTTGCAAATCTAGACATATTTTTATCTTTTCTAGGTCCTTCATCTTAAACTCTTTATTTAAGCAATTTATAGCTTTTGAAAGCTCTTCAGGAGTTTCAATAATATTTATGTCATCCGCATAGACAACTATTATTCCAAATCATTTTCCACATCATTTTATGAAAATACAAGAACAAATTGAGTTATTTTTATATCCATCATTTAGTAAATCTTCACTGAGGTGATTTTACCACATGCGTCCAGATTATTTCAACACATAGAGAAACTTGTTCAATTTGATGGAGTAGCTTTCTTGAGATCCAAATTTACGTGCCTCTGGTATATTGATCCCTTTAGAGAGCTTCATATAAATGTCACTATTAAGTGAACCATATAAATAATATGTCATAACATTCATCATGTTCAAATTAAGCCCTTCATGTGCTAAAAGGCTAATTAAATATCAAAAATCGATTGAATCCAATACAGGTGAATATGTTTTATCAAAATCAATCTTAAGTCTTTGTGAAAATTATTGAGCAATAAATTAAGCTTTATACCATTTTTATTTTGCTTTTTCACAAAAACTCATTTATATCCAATTGGTTTTACACCTTGAGGTTTTCAGACTACAGATACAAAATTGAGTCACTTATAAAGTGAGTTTAATTCTTCTTCGGTTGAATATATTCATTTAGACCAATTCTCACTTAGTCTACAATCTTTAATAGACTTTGAATCATGATCCTCGTTATCATTAATCACTTTTAGTGCTATATTGTATACAATGATATTGTCAATTTTGACTTTATTTGGTTATCTCAATTTCAGTTAAATTTCATTTCATCCATGACATAATTTATCGAGATCTCTTTATTTCATATTTTAAGTACTTGATTTGTTCTTTTGGAACTGAAAAATAAATTATGTCAAAGTGCTATCAGAATTTTCATATCCTCAGTTGGATCATCTTTAAGTTCTTGTTCATGATTCTATTTTCCTTTAGAATTTTATTTTCCTTTAGAAACACACAAGAATTTACTGGATTGAATAAACTTCTGGTTCTTCAATACTAATTATTTGCATCATATTATATCAGTGATGACTCAACCAATTTTACCAACGACACATTTAAGTGTAATTTGTAAATTTCTGGGTTTACAATGACACGTACTTCAACTGTACTAATATAAGTGTACTACAAGTCAGAGGAAAAGGCCGATAGCTTTTCTATTATACATTTTATGTCTAATATAATTGTACAAAAATAAATTTTACTACAAAATATATAAAAAATAAATATATTTATATGAAGAAAAAAATAGTAATAAGATCGTGAATTATATTATAATGGTTCAAATATATTGAGAGTATAAAAATAACGTAGAATCCAACTATATCACCACTCACACCATAAGATCTCGTATTGATAACATGTTATAAAATTAACAAAAACAATATAAAGATGAATAAGAGATGAAGAACAATATAAAAATGAAAGAGAAATAATATTATAATATATTTTTCAAATAGTTACATTTATATTGTAGAATAATTTATTACTTGAGATATATGATATAAGAAACATAAATATTTAATTTATATTGTAGAATAATTTATTATTTGAGATATATAACTTATTTGTTACAACTTTATAAAAATATTATATATTTTTGTTAAAAAATTCAAAGATGATATTTTTCATAAAACAATTAAATGATTTTTTTATTAAAATAGCGTCTAACAATTTTTTTTAAATATTTTTTCTTTATGACTTTTTCTGCATGTTAAAATTTCAAAAAAAAAAAAAAAACTTTATGACTTTTTCATAAATATCTTTTTGTATGAGATACTCTTTTTTTTAATATTTAAAATATTTATTATTTAAAATCATTTAAATTATTAAATGTCAAATTATTTATTAACTTAATAACAAATGATTTACAATAAATTCTATATTTTTTAGTAAATTCAAATAAAATAAATTTTAAATATAAAATTTAAACCAATTTTTTAAAAACTCTATAAAAACTGAACTCTCACTTTACCAATTTTTTTTTCCAATAACAGTAACAAAAGAAAAAAAAAGAAAAAGGTATAACAAGAGAGGGAGTGGGTGAAAAAAATTAAAAAGCTTCCAACATTTAACTTGTTTGTACAAAGCAAAACAACTCCAAACAGAGACCTTCCTTTTTTTTCATTCTCTCTCTCTCCATTGCACCTTCCCTTCTTCTTTTCTCTCATTTTTCAGATTCTTTCAATGCTCTTTTCTCTTAATTCACTTCTTCAGATTCTCACCTAAAATATCCACTCATTAATTAATTTCTCCAATTCTCTTTCATTTCTGCACTTTTTAAGACTTTTTAACTAAAACTGCTTCTGAGTTTTTTTATTTTTTCAAAGCTGGGTTTATCTTTTTCTCTTCTTCTCGCCGGAAATTAATTAAACTAGCTGTTGGTTTATTTTTCAGAAACTTTTCCAGTTTTTTTTTTTTTTTTTTTTGTTGAAGTTCTTGTTTCTGTAATTACTTTGCTTTTGTTTGAGGAAAAGATTGAGAAATGGGTAAACAAGGACCTTGCTATCACTGTGGAGTTTCAAGTGAGTTCTTGTTTCTCCAAAATATGCTTTTTGGTTTTGGTTTTTTTTGCAATTTTTTATGGAGGAGTTATTGACTTTTTTTGAAATAGAAATTAATTGTTATGTTTTGAATGATTCAAAGTGATTGTGATTGTGATTTTGATAAATTTGATAAAATTGAGGTATTGTTGTTGGTGAGTATAAACAATCAAGATGTTTTGTTGTAATGTTGGTGTTGTTTGGTGTGTTTGGAGTTGGAAGTTATTGGAAACTCTATTGATTTTGTTCTTTGATGTGTTTTGTGTCACTTCTTTGTTGGTTTTTTTGTTTTTATAATTTTCTTGACTGTGTTTGATTCTTGAGCAAATGAAATTGGGGCGAAATTAAGCTTGGAATCTGTTGTTGTTTATCGAAAAGAGTCGACTCATAGTTCGCATTTGGATAATGGTGTGAAGATAAGAGAAAAGGAAATGAGGATATTGTGTGTTTGTTAAATTAACCATTGTTAATCCACTCATGTGTTTTAAAAGGATTATGCCACTTCCTTATTGTATCAATGGATGTTAGTTCATGCATTGCATTCAACCTTTGAGTTTTCTCAATTTGATTTTGAAACAACAATGTTGTTTTGTGGTGATCACCGCAATTGAACTAATGCTGCAACTTAAACCTTAGAATGTTCATTTTTTTTCTGAGAAATTTGAAAACATTTTCCAAATGTTGAAGTCATAGCTGTTCGGGTGCACGTTAAAAGTTGAAATGTTTCATTTTGGCTTCATTAACATTGATGCAGTGATACTCAACAGATAAATGTTAATCGTTTTGGTTCAAACCCAAGCATATTATCTTCCTTACCGATATTCGTGACGTCTAATTTGAGTTTATGCATATTTGCTTGACAAATTTATTTGCATACCAGTATCTTATTTTCCTTACAAAATTGTGTTGCTATGCATCATCTGAAGTATTGGACAATTCAATCAGAAATGTCTAGTTCCTTATGATCATGAATACTGATAAATGATGATATTCTCAACCTTAAGATGCTTGTTGAGTTCTGCGTTTTATTGTATCTTTGAAATACGTAGATGTGATTGTTAGTTGTCTATCCAATTGGAGATAATCTCTTGTTTATAAGATGTTACATTTTATTGATTTTTTTAACAAACAATATTTGCAATAGGCACACCACTTTGGCGTAATGGGCCACCTGAGAAGCCAATTTTGTGCAATGCATGTGGTTCTCGATGGAGGACAAAGGGAACACTTGCAAATTATACTCCTCTACATGCTCGAACAGAACCTAATGATTATGAAGATCAAAGAGTTTCGAGGTTAAAGATTGTATCAGTGAATAAGAACAAAGAAGTGAAATTGGTTAAACGAGAGCAGAACCATGGTAATGCTTATGCTGCATCTGGATGGCTCACCCCTGAATATAATCAAGGATTTCAAAAGGCTGTGGATGAGGATACAAGTAATAGATCAAGTTCAGGGTCAGCTATCTCTAATTCTGAAAGCTGTGTTCAATTTGGTGGCATCGATGCTAGTGATTTGACAGGTTGGACTATTACTGTCTGCTAATTTCGTTAGAAATTTGTTTCTTATAACCGATCATGACAGTGTTGTCCTTTCTGTTGAAATATCGTATGATATCTTGATTTGTTTGGTTAATTTAGGTGCTTCTCAATCAGTGGTATGGGATACCGCGGTGCCTTCCAAAAAGAGAACATGTGCTGGTCGTCTGAAGCATTCTTCTGTTGAGAAGCTCACAAAGGAATTGTGTAATATTCTTCACGAACAGCAACAACAGTCTTGTTTTTCTGCTTCTTCTGAAGAGGAACTTCTTTATGAAAATGAAGCGCCGATGGTCTCTGTTGAGATAGGACATGGAAGCATGCTCATTAGGCATCCTAGCTCTATAGCTCGAGATGAAGAGTCAGAGGCTAGCTCTCTTTCAGTTGATAATAAACAATGCTTAATGAATGAGGCATATTCGTGCTATGGTCCAATTCCCATGCTTAGTGATTACACTAGCAAGAATTTCTCTTCTCGGGGAGGTGCAAAGGTCGGAAACTCTGTTGACCAAAGAATGCCGCAAGAGAAACTTGAGAGGTATGTTTCTACTCATGTTTATGAATAGTCTTTTTTACCTTGAGTTTGTTTTTGAGAAATGATGATGATTTTAAAGCTACAACTTCATTTTTTTGTTTTGAAATTTCAGGAATAAGTCTCAGCTTGAAAAACTAGAAGTTCTTGGAAATCATGATTCATCACTGTGCTCAATAGATTTAAAAGTGAGTTGCATGTGAATTCCACCTCTTTTTTTATAGATTGTTCAGCATAAGTTAGCAACAATACTGACTCACAAGGCTTGTAGTAAGTAATGAAACCATTTTTATGCAAATAAAAAAATTCCATCCTAACATGGTTTGTAGAAGTAATGTTGGCCTTTAGTTGTTAGACATTCCATTATAATATGTTTCGGAATCTTTTATTAAATTGATCGGTAAAGCTTCATGTCATATCCATAAAATTGTTGAATGCTAAATGCAATATCTGTTATGTTTGGTAGGATGCAGTGAACTATGAGGAGTTTTCAAGAAACTTGACAGATGAAGAGCAGCAGCAATTACTGAAGTATTTCCCTGTGGTTGATACTGCAAAACTTCCTGATAGGTTAGAATCTGCTAGTGTTACTTTTGTTCGTTTATTAAGTTATAGTCCTTATATATAAATTTCAATTCCGTCTTTCCGGAATAGGGAATCGAAGTTATTGAACAGTATTGTTGTATCATGTGCGGCCTTAGTATTATGTTTGATAGTTTTGAATTCAAGAAGGGGTTAACTTATTTTCAGAAATTTCTCAGGGAAGGTGTGTTCGATAACTCTTTGTTGGGCGTGAACCCTGAAGACTGTAAGACGCTGAAAAGGCTTGCATTGTCTAATCTGTCAAAGTCAAAATGGGTAGAACACTATAATCATCTCAAGGTTTGTGATGGATGTTTTATCTAGATGCAAATGCTTTTGTGTTGATAACTTAATTTATGATGATACTTGTCAGATATTGCATCTAGGGGTGTTTGCGAACAGAATTTGCATCCATTCTTAAGGAATAATTAAAACTATGAAATCTAATTGGTGTCTTTGATAGTATCTTTTGATTGTTCAGTTCAAAATGTAGATTCAATCCAACGCAAATTGATTTGGATCAACTGATTTGGTTCTTTCTGAGTGCAGAGTGGTGGAAACAAAGCTGGAAAATGTGATGATGTGGAATCTCCTGCTGTGGCATCAAGTAATGTTGCAAATGTTAAGAGATTGCGTGTCGGCCAAAACCAAAATTTTCCAGGTTAGCTAAAAATCTCTTGTCATCATAAAAAAAGCCGAGTATGAAAATATTACAATACCTATGATAGAAAATGCTGTATATACATTAAGCTTTTACTTCAAAACACATCAATGTAAGTCGTGTTTTTGTTATCCATTGTTAACTAGACTTGTTTACAATTTAACCAAAGAATCATTCATCTTGCAAGTTTCAGAATTGAAGACAACAATGAAGAGTCCCAAAAGGGTCATCATAAAAGCTAGCAGTGGCGGCAAAGAAATTGTAGACGGCTCCAGCATCAGTGGTGGCAAAGAAATTGTAGATGGCTCTAACATCTTTGTCGACGAGAGTTCTGATCATGATCTGCTGCTAGATTTTCCATCCAACAATTCTTTTCCACAGGCAGAGCTCTTACTCACAACTTCTAGCTTGGTTGCTCAAGGAAGCACCAGTAGTAGCTCGGTACACTCCCGTGTTACTCGTCCTTGATTAATCTTTACTAGGTTATACTTTGGAAGAGTATGCACTATGAACATAGTTTTATGTTTGGTTACGGTCTGCATGTTTTGCTTGCGTCTTATAAACACCGAAATCCTTGTATAAGAGATCTGCTGGTTGTTTTGTTTTCTTGCAACCTTATTGAGCTTGGATTGCCAAGGGATGCAAGTTGGATGGGCTTTTTTTTGTATAGGTAAATGATAGATTGTAACATATATAAATATATAGCACGAAATGCGGAGTGGTATGCTCCATAGTGTTGTATGCAATTGTAACTTATGTTTTGTGAATTATTTGACACCCTCACTTCACAGAAACACCATTCATATGAAGAAATAAATTAATGAGGAAGAACTAGACAATTATTTTGGATGTAATTTACTTGCAAAACATACGACACTTGATGTGTTTGGTTTTATTGCAAATAGTGTTGGATGAATTGCTAGATCTTTAGAAAATAATATGCTTTGGTCACAAATATGTAGCTTTGATTATGCAACATGTTTGTTGAATCATGAACAATAGCAGAGACAATGAGTGCATGTTTTATATCATGATGGGTTTTTTCAAAATCACATTGATTTATTGTAATTTTGACAAATTCATTGTGATACCAAACATAGGATGGATAAGACAGTGAAGGGAGTAGTTAAAACATGGTTGTCTCGAGAGACTTACAGTTCTACAAAGACATTAGTTTAAGATTGACAAGTCTCATGCCGCGAAAAGAATACATAGATGTCACTAAACTTTATTTATTCCGAAGGAAAGGAAAAATATCGAGAAAATCCCAAAAGATAAAGAAATGGTCGTCGCAACAAAATTTGGGTTCAGAAGTCCATTATGCAAGGAGAAGGTATTAGCATCCTCGACATCTGTTGTGCTCAACGAGAACCACTTCGTTTGTTCTGCGTGTAAGATTGTTGATTTTAATTAAGGGAATTTTTTTCAATTAGTGTGTTCGCTAAAATTTTGGAATCCTATGTTTACGTATTCTCATAGTGCAATGAGAAAATTAGAGCTCCATAGTTCGTGGGTTGAAAAATAGTATTTGTTGGTTGTTTTTATTGAACGATGTTGACATTTGCGTTCTAGCTGTTAAACGTTGTTTGTATACTCGTGTGTGGGAGGTTTAAGTGTTTGTTCGTATTGCGGTAGAACGAAAATAACACATTCTTTTATGAAAAGTTTTCAAGGTTTCCCTAAGGCGAAAAATTAGATTTGATTGGTTGAAGTTGATTATTAGGAGACATATATCAAATGGTCTCTCGATATGAGTATATGAATATACGGGAAATCAGGAGGTATACATCACAATTTTCTTTTTCATTCTTTAATTATGAAAAAATTGTCTTGTTTTGAATCAAACTAAAATCTATGAATGAATGTGAATACTTTGAATAGTTAGATCATATGTTCCGTATCTAAAGATATTCAGAATAAAGAAAGGAAAACACCTGTTTATTCTTCTCCATTTGCTTAAGACTCGTGGCGCACGATTCACATTATATTTTAAAAGTATTTTGAATTTATTTTTAAAAAAAGTTTAATCTTAAATGGACAAAGCATCTAAAAGGGGAAAAAATAAATAACAAACATAAATGGAAAGCTCCTAATATTGTCATGCACTTGATTGACCTATTTTTTCTAAGATTTTGAAATGTGACCTAAAGGAAATATGGTACAGGACCTAAAAGTCTACTAATTCAATTAATTAATCAAGAGACACTTAATCACTTAATTGAACTAAGAACCTAAGGAGCATGCAAAAGAGTTATAGGTCATTCTATTGTTTTTCTAGCGAGAAATTAAGCACCAAACATACATCATGATTTAAGATGAGAGACAAAATGAAAATAGGATAAAAAATAAACCTATTTTCTAATAATGTTCTCTAATCAAGATTTTAATCAAAATTTAATTCATAAGATGAGATCAAAAATTTGATTAAATTTCTTTTATTATTTTCTAAAGGATTTCTAAAAGACCTAAAAAAATTAAGGAAAATAAAGAAGAAAAAAGAAAAAGAAAAGGAGAAAGAATTAAAAGAATGTCTAGGAGTGTTAACCTGGAAAAGAAATGTATAGCTAGAAAAGCGCTTATGGGCCTCTGGGTCTAAGGCCCAATTATGGTTTTTTGCTAATTTTAGAAAAGTGTGGTAAAGAGAAGAATTAAAGGGGGGTGTATTAAGTAAATTAAAGGGCCAACAAAGGCTCTGGCCCAAGCGCATTTCAAAATGGGTGACGGGTTTGGAGCGTTCTCACTTTCACTCATTTCTTAAGAATTTTCTCTTCTCCATGTCTATTGTGAGTGCATTATCCTTTTAGATGTTTTGAATGATGTCGAAACTAGAACTTAATATTTATACATTGGACCTAACTCTCTAATCTAGATGTGCATTTTTATATTAGAAAATTTAAAATCATGTTAGAGATGTTTTACAAATTAAAAATCAAGTTTTCATGTGAAAAACTAGTATATGTGCCAACACATAAGGTTTTCAGGTTGACACATAAAAGCTTTTGTTTAGTATGTGTCAATATATAAGATTTCCAGGTCGACACATAGACTGTAAATTTGTTCTATAGGTCGGCACATATGTATTTCAGGTCGACACATAGACTGAAAATTTATTCTATAGTTCAACACATCCGTATTTTAGGTCGACACATGCTGAAACAATTTTGAAAAATTATATTCTGCTTAGTATGTGTTGACACATACAAGTAATAGGTTGACACATACAAGTAAAAATACCTCTATAGGTCGACACATCTGAGATATATGTCGACACATACCAAATGTTTTCAAAACCAATTTTTTTTGTTTTTTTCAGGTCGACACATAGAAGTAAAATTTTCTACTATATGTTGACACGTAGACATTTCAGGTCGACACATATTATTATTTTTAAAAAACGTGTCTAATCTGTTTATTCTGTTTTGTTTCTCACTTAACACACATCATATAAATAGAATTCATGCATCATTTCAACACACTGAAACCAGAAATATTCAAAGCATTGCTCATCATCTTCAACCTGTTTCTATGCATACACACAACAATTACACATAATCATTTTTGTTGGGTGCCATATAAATTTAAGTTGATAAGGTCCAATTTAGGATTGTTGTAATCAAATTGGGTAGAGAATTCTTTGAGGGTTTCAAGATAAATCCAATTGGAGTTCTCTTACAAGATCAAGGATTTATTTGAGAGTTCTCACAAGATTGTGCAATTTGGATTCATCCGAGTGAAAGCTTTGAAGAACAAGGATTCTGTTAAAGGAGTAACGGTAACAGCATGACCACTTTGGTAAGCTTGGTTCACAATACATTCACAATTTAGATTCAATCGAGTGAAAGCTTTGAAGAACGATGGTTTTGTCAAATCTGAATAATGGTGTCTGAAGGATCAAATTGGAAGTATTGGGTTATTTGATTGAGCTCAAGATCAAGGGAATAGAAGAAGATAGGATCAATATCAAACATAGGGTTTAGAGGGTTGAATTGCTACATTTTCTCTTGTAAACTAAATTTTCAAAGCTCAATTGTCATAATCTCAATTCCATTAGAATTAGAGGCAGACGTATCCATAGCGAGACTGATTTGGGAATTGCCTAAAAAAATACCTCTCTCTCTCTCTCTCTCTCTCTCTCTCTCTCTCTCTCTCTCTCTCTCTCTCTCTCTCTTCTTACTTTCTTTTTCTCTCTCTATCACTCACTCTTTCTTTTACTTTTACTGGCAAATTATGAAAGTGTTGATTGTGCAATCGATACATAAAGATGATTTCTTTGTCCAATACTTCAAATTGTTTTGTTGAGTTTATTACAATCAATGTGATTGTAATTGGTTTCTCATATCAACAAAATCAAAGAAAAATCTGGTTTGAATTGATTGCACACTAAGTGTTCGACAAATTGCTTAAATCAGTTTTTGTTTGATATTTCATTGGAAATCAATTATTATTGTGTAGTATTATTCAAATGTGGTTGCTGAATATATTGATTGTTTTTGTCATCTTATATATTCGTTCTATCGGTTAAACGGATACCCGATCTTTTTTATAACGGTTTGGAATAGATGATTGTTGATCAAGGATTGTTTCACTGCGCCATAGTTAAACAATTTTCAAAACATAATTTTTAATAAGAAATTTTTATTTGCAATCTATTCACCCCCTCTATATAGTAGCCTATCGTCTAACATCTATTTTCTTATGAACCCTTGCCGAAAATCACTCTGCCGCACCGAGAATCAATCTGAAGACGGTAGAGCACCAAACATAACCTAACCTACACCGTTCTCTTTGTCTCATTACCCTCTCTCACAATCTGACTTATATTTTCCTTTTTATCCATTGAAACCTTCTATATCTAAACCCTAAATCATAAAACCCTAACCTTTAAAACTCAAATTAAATAACCATGGTCCAAGGATTCAGACAATTTATAGGGGGGTTTATACCACCCAACATGCTCAACATTATGGTATAAAGCAATTGAATAAAAATGAAAGGGAAGAGGAAGGAGTCCCACCAACGGGAACGAGGTTCTTCCAAGTTCTTGTTAAATTCAACAAATGAAGACTTAAAGATACCTAGAGAGCTGTGAAAATCCAGGTAAATCCATTGACTTTTCCCTTTTTTAATTTTTTGAACAATCTTCTTCTTCTTCTTCTTCTTCTTATTCTTCTTCTTCTTTCTCTCTTTTCTGCTTCTTGTGATGTTGCTGTTGAAATTATTTTTGTGTTGCTGATAGAGTAGTGTTGTACCCCAAAATTTTCCCTCCCATTTTTCTCAAGACATGCTTTCAAAGGTTCTCAAGATACTCAAGGGTTGACCAATCAAACCTCCTCCTAAGCAAGGGGTCTACAACTAGGGTTTTGAGTTCCTCAAAGAAGTTTGAGTTGAAAAGGTATCAAGTGGATTTTATGGTTCTCCATAGGTCCTCAATAAGGTTCATGTCAAGTTTCAAGTCCTACATCACAAGT